ACTTAAATATCAATATATTACAATATGAACATCTGAGTTATAGAAATTAACCACATAAATATTTTGAGGGTGCATCTGTTTCTACTTTGGTGTTGACTTTTTCATCCAATTTCATTTAATCCTTTTACAGGACCTCAATTATGTCGTTCATTTTCGGTCTCTTTCGTTACTATATTTTCTTTACTTTTTCCTACGGCACATTTATTGTTAATCTATGTCTAATTTTCTTCTTATCTCTCTTTTACCTCAGCGGTGCTACTTGTCTACCGCATCCTTTACAATTTAAGGTAATTATACAACAAATTATACAATAATAATATATTTATATTATATATTTGTATAATGCCATTTATAAAAATTGTATTGTAGTCAGTTCAACTAAGAAACAGAACCTTACCTGCAATCATGCACGCAGCTCAGGTTCTTACATTTAGGCCAGTGCACTTGGGTAAACAGCTGAAGGAAACTCCTTTATGACTGCTAAGTATTCTGCCTTTAACACCGCACCTCCTTCTTTTGTTTAGAGAGCAGCTGATTGGTCAGCATTGGGTTCTATATAATATATATAATATAATATTATAACTTCATTACAAAGACATAAACGGGGTTAAAGTAGTACATATCTTGCCAGGGTGTTTTAACACTGTATGTAATAAATATGAACTATAATCTGAATCTCTGCGTTGTAAAAAAAAAAATTATGATGTGTTATACGTGTGTTATACTATCCTCAGGTGGTTTTTTTCCACATGATTATGTGGGAGAAAGGTACTGATAGTACAGGCTTGATGAAACCTTGTGGAGTAGACAAGTGGATGTCAACGTCACTGATATCTAAGGGGGCGGAAAACTCATCACGAAACACTCTTCACACTAAAACACCTTTGCTCCTGCCTTTCTTGTTTTATTCAATTTCTTTTTTTTTTTTATGTGGAATTCATAAAGTAAATTCAGTGCCTTTTACTATGCTAGACAAGACGACGAATGACCGAGGTAAAAGGGCGAAGTAAGTGCAATAAAAACAATTCCACGAATCCAGTTACACCTGTAGAAGGATGTCAACATGGGAGATCTGTTGAACAGAGGTGGAGTTAAGTACATTTTCCAGGAGTGGCTAGCGTCAGAAAGAGCTGACCGATACACATAAGCCTAAATCTAAACACATGAACAAACCGATGAATGTTCGACGAAATGAACTTGGCTTTTTATCTTAAGAAGGTGAGGATCAGTAATAAGGAAATAAATCTACTAGCTATTTTTGTTGGTCAGACAGAATTATTCTGACCACATTAAAAATAAATAAAATAAAATATGTTGTAGTTACACGTGCACATACACATAGACACATATGTGTCTATATGTACGCATATATTTGTACATATAAATATATACATACATATGTATGTATAGAGATGTAGATTTATATCTATCTATATAATGTATATGATTTTTCTTTATACTACAGAATTAAGTGTCAATGCTGCTAGGTACAGTCTACCTTTTCCTATATTAGTTGAATATATTTACACCAAATAAATAATCATATGTATTATTAAATATATTATAAATAAAATATACATTTGTCCTTGTATCCGTAACGGGTCATACTCGTCCAACGATAACATTTTATTTATATTTGACTCGTTTCAGTTCATTATTTCATTCATTTATTTATATTCAAAGATGTGTAGTGTCAGGAAACTTTCTCTGTTAGATAGGACTGTAAAAAAAATGCTGTTAGTTCATACCCCAGTTTCCTAACACACAAAACAATTCAAATATTGTTTGTTATTTAGCTTAGCATCAATGTTATTTAACTTAGCATCAATGCTATTTAGCTTAGCATTCATTAAGCTAGTTATGCAATGTTTATCTATGCAATGCTAAGTAGTGCTAATTAATACCACTACTTTCCTTAGTTTTAATAGCAACTATGCTATTTAGGCCTACAGCTAATTGCTAGTTGCTAGGCTACTTCGACCATAGTTTACCCCCCTAAAGGCACGCCCCTAAACTCCTCTTAGTGGGAGTGTCTTTGTTTTTGCCTTTTTCCAAATTTGACCACAATCAAAAAAAAAAAACACAAAAAAAACTTTTATTGTCTCTGAGACTGTCCTTATATACAGTTTAATTTCTCTTGGACACAATCATTCACACAAAATTCACTCAAAACATCTGAACGGTCCCTGACCTCTCATCAGACATTATTACCTTTTTCAGGACCTACTATTCTATTTTTGACTTTCTTCAGTCACGGTTTTTCAACCTAGTTACAAAACGTCTGAACGGTCCCAGACATCACAATAGACACTATTAGTTTTATTTGGAAACTGTGAACAGTTTCCTAACACACAAAACAATTCAAATAAAGATCAAATAAAGGTCTGATCAAATAAAGAATCAAATACGAGATCTCGAGTTTTAAAAGTTTTACTTGCAAGCAAGGAGTTCAGAACAATGGTTACATTCAGAACTGCACTGAGGAACTCCTCAGTGCTCAAAGCT